GTGAATAACAACTCAGATGTCAAATTATAGGTGGTGATCAAGTCTGTGTTTTCAATACACAGGCAATTCATTCTTATTTTAAATAACATTACTTTACCATTACCTTTTTTTTTTTTTTTTGTCATTTTTAGATCATAAGATTTGAGCAGGGCCCTCCCTTCCTATTATTAATGCAAGTTAAAGTTGTCTTGGTTCCAATGACTTACATCCCTCCCATTGTAAAACACAGTAAAATATATATGCATGAATATATAATTACAATAATAATACTATTAAACATGGAGATTAATAGGAAATCACATGCTACTCTTCGGTGACAATAGTCATGGGCTGTAGCTGTGCAAATCTGGCCTAATCATTGTGTATTATGCATACTGAAAATTTGTGCAATTACATGTGGCATTCAATAAGCTGCCTGAGTCACTGCATGCTGATAGTACACAGCAATATGAGTCAAGTGAATCAGGCTTTAGCATTACAGCTCCCACAGCAGCAATTGTCTGGACTGCCCATAAAGTCTATGGGGATGTTGTTTATGTGAAGGAAGATAGTCTGATGTGCTACATTATCTGTCAGTCAGTGATCTAGCAGTGATAATCCAAAAAAACATCATTTTTGGAAGGAGAATTTTCTTACCCTTTGAGACCGATTACCCAGAGCTTTGCAGGTTAATCCAACAGAATGAAAAATAATCTTGTAAAATCATCAATTTTTTGATTATAGGTTGCCTTGGCCCACAGGACAAATGAAAAATCAATATTTTATGGCAGGCAGGCAGAGATAGGCAGACAGACATTGGGAAATGCTGGGCTTCTGATGGTTTTGTGTCTTGTATGGCTAGTAGTATATTGTTAAGCAGATAATTAATATGTTGCAACTTCTGTGCCAATGCTTTAATCATTTTACTCTACATCTTACTTCAGGAAACAGCCTTCATACTTCATCATTTTACCTAATGAATTCCTTAGGCTTAGTAGGGGATAATACCCTCTGAGTGAAGCAGATCATTTTAAATGTCACTTGCTTATTTAAGTGCTCAGTATGGTGGAAGAAAGGGGAATTAATGAGATACAGGATAAATGATCACGAGCCCTGGAAAGCAGAATAAATCTGAGAGATGCAATGCAAGATGTTACAATGAAAACGTGTGAAAGAGCAGGAAAATGTGTTAGCTAAAGAAGGAAATCCCCACCTTGTGCGATGTTACCATGAAAATGACTGAGACACTGATGAGCGTACCATGAAATTCTAACAACCTGGGTCCAAAGGACATGTTAAAAAATAACCCATTGGACTAAGGAAACTGGGAAAGTGAGCAGGCACTAAATACATATTCCAATGGATGCAGGGCTGGATTTACATCCCTAGCACCTGTAGTTAGAGAATTTTCAAAGCTCTTTTCATCCGTCGCCCCCTTCCAAACTAAAAGAAATATCTTATTTGAAATATTTTAAGAAAATGTTGTATATGCACACAAACCTATACATTGTATGTGTCTGTGTGAGTGGATGCACGTCTCTGTGTGTATTTTAATGTCTGTGTGTAGCAATGTGTCTGTGTGTGTGATCCTGTATTATGTCTGTAGAGGCATGTGTTTGTAACAGTGTGTGTAGGAGCATGTCTAGTAGTGTGTACATGTGTGCAATAGTGTGGGTAGCAGCAAGAGTATGGGTAGCAGTATGTCCGTGTGAGTGTGCTTGTCTGTGTATGTGTGTAGGGGTGTGTGTTTGTAACAGTAGTGTGTGAAACAGTGGGTAGGAGCATATGCAGTAGTGTGTACGTGTGTTATAGTGTGGGTAGCAATATGTGTGTGTGTAGTGTAGTTTAGTTGTGGGTTCCAGTGTGTGTTTAACCGTGCGGGTGTGCATAGTAGTGTTAATACAGAAGTGTATGTGTAGTGTGGTTATGTGTAGCTGGGTGATAGTATGTATATGTACTTACTATGCTTTACTGAGGTGACCATTCTGGAGAGACAGCAAATGAATAAGGGGAGTTAGAAGGCTAATGGAGCATGTATAGGGAGGAGGAGAGATATAACATGGAGAGGTGAAAAAGAATATAGAGCATGGAGAGGGTGAAGAAAGGAAACAGAAGGTGGAGAAGAAAGATTGAGGATGGAAAGAGGAGACACAAGAGGAAAGATAGAGGTGTATAATGGGGACACAGAACTGGGAGGAGAGATAGATGATGGAGACAGGAGAAAGGAAATGGACAAGGGGGATAGAGGGTGGAGAAGGGAAACAGAAGGTGGAGAAGAAAGAAGCAGGAGACTGGAGATAGGAAAATGAAGAGTGATAGAGGGCTTATTGGGGGAGACACTGAATTTGGAACAGAGGTGGAAGATGGAGAGGGGGGATAGAGGAAGGAGAGGAGAGATAGGAAGGAGACTAGTGATAGGGGCATATATGGGAGACACAGAATTGGGAGGAGAGATATAAGATAGAGAAGGGAGAAAGAAAATAGAGGATAGAGGGCAGAGGAGGGAAACTGAAAGTGAAGAAGAAAGATACACAGAGGAGAGAGGAGTTAGGAAAGAGAGGAGTGATAGAGGGCTTATCGGGGAAATACAGAACTGGAAACAGAGGTGGAAGATGGAGAGGGGAGATTACCTACTGCCCCCCTACAATCTGTGAAGAATGCTGCTGCCAGGCTGATCTTTCTCTCCTGTCGCTCCTCTAACACCTCACCCCTCTGTCGATCCTTACAGTGGCTTCCTACAGGTGTACCCTACAGGTGTCAATTTAAAATACTAACCTTTACCTATTAAGCTCTTACCAACTCTAGCCCCTCTTACATTTCTTCACTGATTCATAGGTATGCCTCCTCTCGGTCTCTCCGCTCTACTGGTGACCTTCTCCTGTCTGCTGCTCGCACCCTTACTAGGAATTCACGCCTGCAAGACTTCTCACTTGCAGCTCCTTTCCTTTGGAACAGCCTGCCTACCCCTGTCAGACTCTCCCCTAGTCTTCAATCCTTTAAGAAGTCCCTCAAAACCCATCTTTTCAGGATTGCTTATGGCCTCCAAGAGTAACTTCTAACTCTCAAACCTTCCTCTTGCTCTCTCCTAAAGGGCTTCTCTCCACTCTCACCTTCAGTTCTGCTACTTTCCCACCATGTCTATTTGTTGTTTCTCTCAAAAACCTTCCTATTGTGTTTATATACGTCACCTCCATTAGACTGTAAGCTCGTTTGAGCAGGGTCCTCAACTACCTATTGTTCCTGTTACATTTTGTTATTGTCTCATTTGGTAAATTCCCCTCTTATTGTAAAGCGCTGCGGAATAAACTGGCGCTCTATAAATACCAATAATAATAATAATAAAGGAACTAAAGGGGAGATATTGTGGAGAAATTATATTAGTGAAAGAGAGACTGAAGGATCTCACAGAGACAATATCAGGTGTGGATAAATGTGCACTGGAAAATAAAAAAAGCGATTTGTGCAAATAAAATGTGACCCCGTGGGGCACCAGCAGACACCAAATGAACGACCCAACTGGCGAGACACAGAGGAGAGACACCTGCGGCCTACAAGCAAGGGCAGCATGGGCGAGGCGGCCGCTCCCCCGCAGCCCTCCACAGCTGGCAACGGGCACATAAGCCCTCGTTCCCCCCCCCCCTATGGACCGGCAGAGGTTATCCCGGTCCCAGGAGCGCCCATCCGAGACATGGGACGGCGCAGGCAGACCGAGCTAGCGAATACCAAAATGGCGACAACAGCAAATGGACGACCCGACACATTTCTCAGGGATGACACAGAGGCAAGGCGGAATGCCATCTTTGAAGCCTTCTGGGAAAAGCTAGACACATATCAAGCCCTAAAGCAAGTCCCAAAAGAGCAAAAGCCGACACTGCTACCCGCATGCTCCTGCCTTCAAAGCAATTCTCACGGAGAAAAGAGAGCAAGAAATGGGCACCAACACAAAAGCGATGGCCTGCCAATAAAACAGACCAAGCCGAGGAGACAAGCAGAGACCGGCCTTGCACGCAAGCATATGCCGGCCACAAGACAGAGCGAGAAGCCTACTCAGCAAAGGGCACCCCAATCTTCGGACGGCGATACCCGCAGGAAGGTTCATAACCCGACTACCGTAAAACACTGTAAACCGCGGGACCAACTGGGGAGGCGAAGAGCGGTTCGACACCCAGCCAGCCGATACCGCGGAGCGACGAGATGCACAACGAGACCCCAGCGAGCAACCCAGCAAAACCCAACACGGGGTCCAGAGGGGAAACGACATGGCACCAGGATTGCCACTGCAAGAGACTCTCCCTCGGATCCGCCAGGCGGAGTGGGCTAACAACCACCAATGGACACTATGATATCGGACACTGGCCCCTTGAGAGTCTCACAAACTCTTACCTGCATCCACTACCCTGTCATACACCCAGCGGTACACATAAGTACCTATGTATTTGAGAAATTACTCTGTACAGCATGACACCCTACCTCACTAACACAGGCTATTGTTCCTTCCTGTATTTATCGCAATATACCTTGCAATCACCGCCAATCTTGTACATTACACTGTGCATCATAACTTACATCCCTGAAAGCATGAGATCCCTCACGACCACATAGCCAACACATAAGTTGAACGGAGCCTTATTTACCATGTCCGGAAAGCTAGTGCCTGACTAACCGTCAGGGATCACAACCTACTCACCTCACTTATATTACACATGTTACACAACCACAGCAGTTTGAATAACTCTTGTTTCCTATACATTATGGTTGCTAAATTTACGTTTAACGATTGCAATGCTTAATTACTCTAGCATGTCGAACTATATAAACAATGCCTTATCAGCCTGTTATTTTCATGTTTAAAAAAAAATAAAAATGTGCAACTGTATACTGTCACGACCATGTCTGCATGAACCGTGGTTCCACGGGCCTGCTTGTTAAATAATTTGCACCAAAATAAAGAATGAAAAAAAAATAAAAAATCAGTATAGTGATGGAAAAAAGTGCAATGCAGGAAATAATGGTTGAAAGGAATGTTGGTGAAATGGCATGGCTGCACATGGCACCAAGATGGCGTCTTCCTCCCCGGCCTCCTCTGTGGCCTCGGACACGGGGGCCCGACACTAGCGGACATAAGCGCAGATCTCCGGAGTCTCTCGGAGTCGATGGTCACAAAGCAAGACCTCCAGGTTCTAACAACGACGCTGCACGACTTCGTCGCTACCACAGTGACGGCACTCCGCTCAGACGGCGGGGCCCAAGAAACCTGCATTCAGGCACTAAAGGCCCAAACCCAAGCCTCCACCACTCAAACCAGAGCTACTGATACGGCACTCGCCCGGCAGGGCGCTATGCTCCTGGCCCTCGGGAGACAGACCCAGGACCTAGACAATAGAAGCAGGCGCTCCAACATTAGAGTGTGCAGTGTGCCTGAACCCCAGGGCGAGGAAGATGCAGAAGGCCTCCTCACAACACTCTTCAGCCTGATACTTGGAGAAGAAGGCCCAGATCAAATTCAATTTGATAGGGCACATAGAGCTCTTCGACAACGTATACTCGATGGAGCTCCACATGGTTTGATTTGTTGCCTCCACTCCTACCAGCTCAAGGAGAAGATAATGAGAAAGGCAAGATCACGTCCATCCTGGCACTTCCAAGATTCAGATGTGATCATCTATAACGATCTCTCGCCTATGGGGCGACCCATCACCCAGGCTCTCCGGGACAAGCAGATCCCCTTCAAGTGGGGGTTTCCCTTTTGCCTCCAGGCAAGGTACAACAATGAATGGGCACAGGTCCGCTGGCCCGAAGAAGTGCCGTCATTTCTCCAGAAATTGGAGCTGAATTTAATCGAAGTACCGAACTAGGTCCTGGGACCCTTAGATGCACGTCCGGAACTACCGCAGACATGCTGCCGCCGGTGATGGGGCTCCCCGGCGAGACCCCCTCTTCAACAACTCACAGAACCGGGGCCTCCTGATGACTATTACGTGCCCGCTCCCTCAAGGTCCGCTCGCCACACCGCACCCCAAACCTCCTGGCTCTTGAGCTGCCCAGCAACCGGAGGTACCGGAGACTCTAGTTCACTGCATGACAAGGTATCGAGCATACACCAGGGGACCCTATGGGACTGACCCCACCAGTTTAGCTTACACCAGTCAGCGCACTCTGCCGTGCTTCCTCCCGACTGATCCTGCTTCAAACTCCGATTAGCACCCAGGTCCACTTCTGACACACAGGATTACAACGCATGGAAGATTGCCCCTATCCTGGGCCCTCATGCGGTGTCATTTCCTTCTACCAGGCTGGACCCTCATGACGTCAAGTTTGGGTCATCTGTGTATGGGGAGGGGGGTTGTGGGGAGCCACTGGGACATTGTCACACTGGTCCATTTTCAATACGATGGTGTTGTTATCTGCACTCCAGGGCCCCACGATGTGTACCATTTATCCTGCCACAGTGGATGTTGCTTGCAACCAAGGCTGGAGCTCTCGGGATTTGGGAGGGATGATGGGATGAAAGGGGTACCATGGGGACTGCACCACATGATCTATTCTTCGCACCCCACTGTGTAGTATGTGTCGCCTGCTGACATCCTAGCAACACCTGTGAGCATGTACTGAACCAGGAATACTCTATGTTTAATTTGTTCTCATTGTGAGACGGTGGTGGGGGGGCTATTTTGGCTGACCTGTGAGGCCAGAGATGCCGAAAGTTGGTCCCATACTGGTAGTATATACATATACAAGATTGAACAAAACCAAAGGGACATCTGCTGGTAGGAAGGAACAGGTGCGGTTAGTTGGCGGCCGGGAGGAGCAGGATTGATGGGAGGGCACTGAGGTAACAGTTCACTTGTGGGGGGTGGAGGGCGGGTAAGGGACAATTTTTTTTTTTTTTTATTAAATTACCATACTTCTCATATGTCTCTATTTAGGACAGTTAGTTCCTATTTTGAGCCCAAATCCCTTTGTCCCTCTTGTCTATCCTAAGCTTCAAATTGTTGATGTGTCTGAGTGTATAACAGAGCTCAACATTAATAATACTCACAGCAAATGTGTTTGGAGATCAGTCTGTGTATATAAGATACATTGTTCTAGTTGTGAGTTACATTTCATTGTATACATTTTTATCAGTTAATCATAGAATTTCTCAGAACAGCCCCACCCCTGCCCCCTATAAAACCAAAGTGCCCCTCTTTGTCCATCTGAAATGTTGGGATGTATGGCAGGCTGGAACAGAAATATTAGTGAGGGAGATAGAGATTTGCTGCTCATGCATACAGAGTAACTATGGGGGAAAGTTCTAAAATTGCCAAAATCAGCTTATTCCATTAGTTTCCATGGTGATTGCTGCCCTTTATGTTTCTGCCTGTGCCAGGCTGCACAGTGCATGACATGGCTTTAGCAGTGCCTGCTGTGATGGGCTCCAGCGGATATTTTAGTGTTGTGAGGTAAAGTCTGGTCTCCAGGAATTGGGAAAGCTGCCAGATAATACCACCTGCGTATCAGGCAATGAGTGGGAATGGGGGGCTGCACAGACTCCATGCCAACCACGTGATGTACAAGAAGGGAATCCCAGTGACATCACAGGCTCATTTACATGTATAACGTCATGAGAGGGAGGGTCTGCCCAGTCCCCAGCCCATGGTGTGTGTCTAGTGGGGGAGATTTAAAAGGACGGGGAGGGTCTAAGCCAGATGGGACTCAGCATCTGTCAGAGAGAGAGAGGGACCCGGAGCAGGTGCCAGACACAGTGAGAGGGAACCTCCACACACAGCAGGACACACTGCCCACCAAGGCTCACACAGTGGATGACACAGAGGGTGCAGGGAGGTGGCAGCTGGGGGGATCCCTGGACGCCCCTCCAATTAACCCTTGGAGCCCAGGACTGGGTGAGTTTATCTTATACTGTAAATCACACTTTTCATTGTGGATGCATTTGTTGTCTAATATTGTGCAATCATTAGCCCCTTTCTGGAGGGAGTCCTATCCCTATACACCTATACCATGTGCTGATTTAATATTCAATGAGGAAGATAGACACCATGCTATTGTTAATATGCTGTCATCAGAAAGAGTAATTGGGTAGAACCATGTATGAAACTAACCAACATTCTAGGTAACATTACTATCTTATCGCTTGAAAGGCTCCCTTGTTAGTGTGCATCTCACTACACCTGTTGCCAGGTTCGGGGCATGAAATGGGATAGCAACGCTTCTAATTTCTTTTAAAATGTATTATCTGTCTCTGTGTGTATCCGGGCAGTTTATTTGATTATTATATCTACAGTGCTATTTGACAAGCAGGCTAAATGACAGATCTGTTTGTCTCCATTAAAGGAAACGTTAACTACTGCATTGCCATACACACACAACTGGCACAAGTCATTGTACAGCTTTATCACCATAACATCTATGTATGGTGCAACTAAAGCATCCATTATCACTCCATCTCAAATTGGGAGGATTTATTTGCCAAATGTATTTTCTAAAAAAAAGTATAGTATGCATCCTTTTCACAATTAGTGACAAAAGCAAATATCTTCTAAGGAATTACAGTAGTACATAAGCATAACTAAAATTACATGGCTCCCTAGTTACCCATTTTAACTATCCAATGCCAATGTTACAGCTGCCAAAATATGCCCCTACCATGAAGAATAGAAATGTGAGGGTAATCGGGTTTTGCCTTGCTTACTGATCAGAGATCATCCTGGATTAGGAAAGAGGTGAAGTAAGGCCATGTAAAGCTAAGCAGGCAATAAGATAAAAGGGAGATGGTGATTATATAACATTGCAAGGGTTAATAAATTCATGCAAGAAAGATTTTCTATTGTGCTTATGTTCTTACACAGTTTATACAAATGCTATCAAAATGTATTGTTTGGTAAGAATGAAGTGACTGTATTAATTAATCTATTTGTGTCAGTGAAAACCCCCCAAAACACACACAATCCCCCTAGCCCCCCAAACCATGTACATGTTGAAGTAGGCCTCTATAACATTATAGTGTTTGTGAGCACACTGTCACTGAGAGGTAATCTAGGCACCCTAAGAACCCCAGGGAAAAAATAAAATAGTGCTAATAATGATATTTGCTATCCGCATTAAAAATCAGCAGGAAAAACAACGTAAGTCTCTGCTTAGCGTACACCTTGTATTTGATGACACATCAGCCAATAGTGACTAAATAGTTTACAGGATTTCTATCAATTTATGAAGTGAAATTTGTTTTTCTTTTGATTGCTATGGGCCACACTGTTTTTGGAATGTGTCACAAAACAGTTAGCATTTCAAGATTAAAACAAATCATGAGTCTTTAATATCTGATGTGTGATTCACTGATTTACAGATCCACACTGCACAATGACGCTGAACAAGAGAGAAAAGCTGGGGTCACTACGACAGCACTGGGGAAGCCTTCCTCTTAATTTTGAGCCACGACGACGTGGTAGTATGCCACTACCCTACAAGCACCAGCTGAGACGTGCACAGGCTGTGGATGAGCTTGATTGGCCAAGTGTTCATTCTGGATCATCAGAATCTGTGAGGTCTTCAGAGAGTATTCCAGAGCCAGGGGTCTACAAGGTGATGCTTCTAGGTGACAGTGGAGTGGGCAAAACAACTCTAGCTGGCATATTTGGAGGGGCAGAAGATACCTTCCACCATGAAGCAGAACATCCAGGTGACATCAATGGGGAAGTATATGGAGGGTGGACGGGGGACAGATTAATAATGGAATTTAAAGTAAGCAGATTATTCTATCTTTAGAGGACACATATGAGCGGAATCTGCTGGTTGATGGAGAAAAGACGACCTTGATAGTTTATGACATCTGGGACCAGGTAAGGAACAGTAATTAAATCCCACCTACCTTTTCACAATCGTGTGCCAGGGAATATGCGGTCTTCCCTAATCTTTGTAGTGTAGTACAGCTAAAGATATATAAATATCTGTATAAATACTCCAAAAACGTATTGTTAAAAAAAAACACTTTCTAGCCTGCCCTCCAGTTACTTCCCATGCACGGCACAAATACGTTTAAGCTCAGTTGTCCTGTTACATACATAACCTAGTAGTTTAGAACCAAAATGTTAGGTAACAGCTCCATGAAAAATACAACAATCCCAGAACATCACATTGACCTTATCAATGAGGCATAGGTGATTTTTCTCTAGGTAAAGTGAATATGAGGTCTAATTCTAGATATCCTTCCCCTACAAGCTACCATCAATGTCCTGTATCAATCTCCCTGTCTGGCCCACAGAGTTGGATGCAGGACAACTGTCTACAGATGGGGGATGCATTCCTCCTCATATTCTCTGTGACAGACCGTGCCAGTTTTCAGCGCCTTCCTGGTTTACTACTACAGCTACGAACAGCTCGGCCACATCGCCGCATCCCCATAATCCTCGTTGGCAATAAGGGTGACCTGGCTCGCTCCAGAGAAGTCAGCGTTGAAGGTATTTTCACCTTTTGAAAGGCAGTCACTGTTAAACAGTTTGAATCGTAACACAAAAAGCTTACGAACAAAAAAAAAGTTATACTTATATTTCAATTCTGTATCTTGCACCATCGCCCAATTTATTCACACAGCATTTGGAAAGTTATTTGTTAATGTATGTTTCGTATGAACCTAAAGGATTATTATCTTTTGTTGGTCACTCTCTTTCCAGAGGGGCGCTCTCTGGCAGGTATGCTGAGCTGCAAGTACACAGAAACATCAGCAGCTCTCCATCACAATACTCAAGAGCTGCTTGAGGGTGTGGTGAGACAAATCCGCCTTTGCAAAGATGAAGGAGAGCATACACCCCAACCTGCTACATTGCTTCCTCCGGGCCGCAGGGAGAGCTTGACCAAGAGGGCTCGGCGTCTCTTACAGGGGCTGATGGGAAAACATCGTGGTTTCTTCAAGCAAAGATCAAAGTCCTGCCATGACCTTTCTGTACTGTGACTTACAGACTACCCTCTCCATAGACATCGAAGAGGTCAGACACAGACTGAGTCAAGCTTAGACTGACACAAGGGGAGGCAATGACTATGTGGACATGCTAGTACACTATGCGAGCATAGTAGGCAAAGACTGATCAGTCAATCTCTTATCTGACCAAAAACTCTGGAAGGTAAAATCCAGTGTCTGACAGCATAATAATGTCTGCTTTGTGGCATTCAGCCACAGGATAAAGTTGGTCCTACACTACGACCATTGTGTTCCAAACACCATGCATTCAACACAGGATGGAATCATGAGTTGGGGATTACACCCAAATATCATGTCTAGTCACCAAGGACTAGTTGCCTTTTGAAACTACCATCAGATCATACCTCTCTATACTGCTATCATTACTACACATTATGTACAACCTTTCAAAACATTATACATACCACAATTAAACACAAGTGCTTCATACTTATAGTAAAGGCGAGGTATATTGAATAGATAATGCAGGAACATAGTAACAAACTATTAGAGGCATTGCATGTTATTGACCATTGTCACTGTTTTTTTACTGTAAAAAAATCATCTGCATAAATAACGTGATACTGTTGCGTGCAGGCAATGTTGGTTAGAAGTATAATAACATAATATGTGGTACAGTACCATATATGAAGTGTAGAATGAAGACGGGTATAGAAAAGATATCAGGCGGCTGGGGGAGAAGGTGCATGTCTGATAGTGGGGGAGGTAAGGGAGATGGGAGCTACAGTGGTATTTTTGGGCACGCTTTATTATTATAGGCATTTATATAGCATCAACCTATTCCACAGCACTTAACAATAATACAAAAGTGAGAATTTAACAATCAACTATTTAAAAATTTGACCGGAACAATAGGTTGATGAGGACTTTGCTATAGATCTATCTGAGAACAAAAATTGCTTCCTCTTAGTGAAGTGCTTTCAGTGCATAGATCCTGCCGCTTTGCTGTTGAAAATAAAATCGAAAAACAGCACTGTTTCCTTTTCTTTTTGCAATGTCCACACCTCTAGTGGCTGTCAGACAACTACTAGGGCTTTGAGCTAAATAGATGTTATGCCTGGCATCAGCAGGCAAGAATGAGGACACTAGAGGATGAATATATATGTGCAATGCTTCTTTATGAGAAGCATTGGGTTGGGGGATAGTGGTGATATCCAAAGCAGGTGCCGGATGTCCACAGTGCGTTTCTATGAGAAAAGTTTGACTGGACACAGATCATCAAGCTCAATATCACTGGAAGTAGGACGGGGCTGCAGTCTGTTGTAACACTGGAAGAAAGGTAAGGGTGAGTTTTAACAATTTTGCTTTCAAAGATGCACCCTATAATATAAACACTAAAAGTATCAAAGAGTATAAAAAAAATTTTGCTGAGTTTTTAAATTTTATTTTAAATTAAAGTGTTCCTTTAATACGTGCACGTATTGAAATGGGGTGTGGGTGGGTGAACAGATCTTTTAGACTTCTCACAGTGTTCCGAGCACCTCTATTCTCTGTACACCTTCCACCCGCCTCTCCCTCCCAATCTAGTTCTCTGTCTCTCGACCTTAAAAGGAAAAATTCATCTCAACAGTCTGTGTTGTCATGGAGACCACAAGCCAACTATCTAGCACTGCTCCCATGGATCTGGGGGATATGTTGCCATGGAGATCCATTCAATGTACCCCATACCACAGTGAGGACTATTGTAATGGGAGCAAGAGAAATACGAAATGTTTCTGTAAGCAGGCATTTCAAGGCCAAGCACCGTGAATGTGTATGAACATAATGTACCCGTACTGATAGATTACTCTTTATTTATGAAAGGAAAATACTAATCACTGCTGTACAGATCTGTTAAACAAAATGGTTTAACTCTGCCCTGCAAGCTACAAACAGGGGCGGACTGACAGGTCGGGCAGATCGGTCATGGACCGAGGGCCCGAGGCAGTCAGGGGCCCGGCTGGCAGCACTAACATGCTCTGGCTGGGGAGATCAGATCACAGATCTCCCCAGACAGAATTGTACATATTCCAGCAATAGGTTGCTCCTGCAACCTATCTCTTTCTGTTTCCCCCCTCTGCCTCCCCTCCACCCCCACCTTCTGAGACCTGGCAGTGATCCTGCTGCTCCTGCCAGGTCTCCTCCATGTAATGACTGCGGAGCTCCTGTGAGGGGAAGAGGCGGGGCCGAAAGAGGGGAAGTTACATCACTTCCCGTCCTGCAGAATCTGCTGAATCCTGGCAGACAGGTAAGTAAATATTATTTTTAAGCTAATATCCCCCCCATACCTATCCCAGCCCCTGTGCCCCCTTCACCCATCCCAGCACCTGTACCCCCTTCACCCATCCCAGCCCCTGTGCCCCCTTCACCCATCCCAGCACCTGTACCCCCTTCACCCATCCCAGCCCCTGTACCCCCTTCACCCATCCCAGCACCTGTACCCCCTTCACCCATCCCAGCACCTGTACCCCCTTCACCTATCCCAGCCCCTGTACCCCCTAGCCCCTCCTCCTTTCACCCATCCTAGCCCCTGAGCCTCCTTTCACCCATCCCAGCCCCTGAGCCCCCTTTCACCCATCCTAGCCCTGTTACCCCTTCAACCATCCCAGCACCTGTACCCCCTTCACCCATCCCAGCACCTGTACCCCCTTCACCCAGCCCAGCACCTGTACCCCCTTCACCCAGCCCAGTACTTGTGCCCCTTCACCTATCCCAGCACCTGTACCCCCTTCACCTATCTCAGCCCTTGTGCCCCCTTTCACCCATCCCAGCCCCAGTGCCCCCTTCACCCATCTCAGCTCCAGTGCCCCCCTTCATCCATCCCAGCCCCTGTGCCCCTTCAACCAGCCCAGCCCCTGTGTCCCTTCAACCAGCCCAGCCCCTGTGCCTCTTCCCAGCCTCTGGCCCCTTTCATTTCCTCCCACCCTGGGCCCCCTTTTCATTTCCCAATCTCTGGGCCCCTTTTCATTTCCTCCCAGCTCCTGAGCCCCTCTTTCTATTTCCTCTCAGCCTCTGGGCCTCTTTCCTATCCCAGACCCTGTGCCCACCTTTTCCTATCCCAGACCTTGTGCCCCCATTTTCCTATCCAAGCCCCTGTGCCCCCTTTACCCATCCAAGCCCCTGTGCCCCCTTTACCAATCCCAGGCCCTGTGCCCCCTTCACCCATAACACTACCTGTGCCCCCTTCACCCATCCCAGTCACTATGTCCCTTTATCCATCTGAGCCCCCTTTCACAGCCCCTCTGCCCTCTTTATCCATCTGAGCCACTATGCCCCTTGACCCACCACAGCCCCTATGCCCCTTTACCATCCCAGATCCCACTCCCCCTTCACCCACTACAGCCCTATCGCTGTCATTCCTATCCTTCCCTGTACCCACCACAGCCTCTGTGCCTTCTTGTACACTACTCAGCCTCTCTCTCCCTGTACCCACCTCACCCCTATGCCTTCCTGCACCCACTACAGTCCTCATAACTCTCATCCCTATCCCTCCCGGCACTCACTACAGCCCCTATCCCTCACTGCTTCCACTGCAGCTGCTATCCCCCCACCGTCCGTATGCCCCCCTGCACCTACTATAGCCCATATCCCCCCTCATGCACTGCAGCCACTATCCACACACATACTGCAGCCTCTGTATCTCCCCCACACAGTAGAGCCTCTAGTATCATACAAACATACACTACAGTCCCAGTATCCCCCAGCTGCCTACTAGAGCCCCTATCCCCCACACACACAACAGCCCCTATCCACACACTCTCTGCAACACAACCAGCCCTCTCCACTAACATACAACACTGCAAACAGCTCCATACACACACACAAACCCACAAGGAACCTCACTGTATGCACGTAATCCCACAAACAGCATCCCCACACATTCAATACCACATGCAGCCTCCCTACACAAATATCACAAGAGGTATCCTCAGCATGGCAATACTGCATACAGCCTCCTAATACACACACACACACATCACAAGAGGCATCCCCAGCATGGCAATACTGCATACAGCCTCCTTATACACACACACACACACACATCACAAGAGGCATCCCCAGCATTGCAATACTGCATACAGCCTCCTTATACATACACACATCACAAGAGGCATCCCCAGCATTGCAATACTGCATACAGCCTCCTTATACACACACACATCACAAGAGGCATCCCCAGCATTGCAATACTGCATACAGCCTCCTTATACATACAAACGCAATTATTACAATTACTTATATAGCACCAACATATTCTGCAGCGCAGTACAATAGGTAAAACAAGTCAAACAATTAATTCTAATTCAACATGTTGACATTCAGGAACACAAGCAGCATCCCACACATGCAACCACACAAGTAGCCTCCAAACACGTGTTTGGAGGCTGCTTGTATGGTTGAACATGTGGGGGATGCTGCTTGTGATGTCACCAACAAACACAGAGGAAGGGTCTAATTAAATTTGCTTTATGTCTTTATTTTAATGGGGGGAGGGGAGCGTAAGGCAAGCTATTAAGGGGTACTCCACTCAAAAACAATGTTTTATTAAAACACTGTTTTTGGTTGGATTAACCCTTTAAAGTATATCTGGCCCTGTTTGGGGGACAGCCATGCTGGGTAGCGCGCACATATTTGTATGAGAGCTGCACAAAGACCTTGCACCGGGAGGGGGGCCCTTGATCTACTATTGACCGAGGGCCCTATAAGTTGTCAGTCCGCCCCTGCTTACAGGGTCATTTACATGAAAATTGAAAGTGAATTTTAAATTTAAAACCAGAGTAGCCGAACTAAAAACATATCTGACTTTTTTGTTTGAGAATTTTTCCAGTTTGGATATTTTGACCTTAAATTTGAAATACACTTTGAATTCTCACTTTGTTATTCTGTTTACGGTAAGGGTTAGGCAAATTGGCTTGTTTTTGTGGCAGTTCAGACATATTAGCTGTCATGTGAGGATTAAAAAAGGAGTTTAGAAAGGGGAAGGGCTTTTATTGGTGCCTGTGCTCGAGATTTGAAGTGTGCATATGACCCTACAAGACAGGGACATGGTAAACATGATATAATCTGTTGTTTGAGGTTTTTTCAACGGTCCCTCACCTGGCGTCTGCCCCCCTCCCTCCCTCTCCAAGGGAAATAAAAGCCAGGTGTCAAGGATATCTCTTTTTTTTTTCTGGATGAATGGTCCCATATAACTTCTGCAATGTCCTTAAACACACAGTCCCGTATTTGCCCCTCATGTTGAAGAGACCTGAATTATGGGGTGATCGAAATACAATCTGCAGAATCAAAAGGGACTGTGCACACTCTATATACAGTTGGCAGAGAGTACTGAGAGTTGCAGTTCAAAAAGTAAAAAATTTGCTGAAACCTCTGGTGAAAATTATTCTTCGAATTGTTCAATTGGATAAGAGCGCTGGGGGGCGTTTTAGGATAGCACACTCAGCTAAACAATGCCATTCAAGGTGGAAGAACTTGATATTGATAATGCAGAGGTATTAATGCGTCTTAGATGAGGGTGGTCTCTGGGTGCAGGGAGCTTATCTCAGACTTTTCTTAAATTATTTGACATTAAACGGAGGGAAAATGGCAAGACACTAGGCAACAGCCCCACGGCATTGAGCAGTAGCAGGCATTTGGTTAAAATTCCCTTTTAACTTACAAATGAGACAATGCAAAAGGGCCATGATCTTGCTGAGAGTGGTAAGAGTTGTATTCTGCCTGCAGTATATAGTATGCTAAACTTCAGGTTGCAGCAATTTAAAATTGGAATGGCAATATTAATGCCGAAGCTGTGTTTATAGCTGGATATTTTTCAAGGAAAATAAATTTAGCAATTTGACTTTCAGTTCACTGTAGTTCTGAGTTTAGTTTTATTAAAACCCCCAGTGTTCATGAGCCCTGGGAAGACACACACGCATATTTCTTAAAACTTGTGTTCAATGTATTGCAATTGCACAATAGCACTACCAGTTGTACAAAATTATAATTGAAAGAATATTGCACTTTTACAACGTGTTTCGACACACACCGTGTATACTTAC